CTGGAGCTTGGAGAAGAATGGGGAGAGGATGCTATTCTCCCAATTTACAGCTTTTAGATTCTTCTTCCAGTGGCTGATAAGTTCTATAAGCTCAGCCAAGATCATCCAAGCCAAAATTAAAGAAACCAGAAATACTCCAAAATGCTTCTGTATAATATGCTTGCATATCAATTTTGCCAAACTTTCTTACTTTAAGCCTTTCTGAATTATAGTTTAGGAAAAAAAAGAGAAGCAAGAGGAATAAAATGGAGGAACAGAATATAAAAAAACCTTGTATAGTTTTGTTAAATAGTTGAATGGCCAGTAAAATAACTAGATAAATAATTTTCACAGTTTATGTCCCAATGCACCATTCTGGTTTGTAGTTACTCATGAACACTATTTAGTTATTAGCCTATCACCTGTAATTTCTTCCTTTTAAATCATCTTCTGTAAACTGAAGAGCAATCTTTAGGCACTCAACCACGTAAGCAACAAAGAAAACTCCTTTGGTAAGTAGCACGCTGTAAATTAAAATTTGTGAGAGTGTGGATTTTGTGAATAACTTATTCATTGATAAAGCTACACTTTAATTAAGTGTAAGAGATCAGAGAGCACGTTAGTGCACAGGCTAAATAAATCCTCATCAGATACACAGGCTCTTTTCTATCCACGTGGGATATAACAGCTGCTTTCAAATTTGCAGTGAAAATACAACACTAAGGTTGCCTTTACTGATTGCAGAGTAACGTATGACAGGATACAGAGATGTGTCAGAAAATCCGTGTCTCTCTTCCAAGAGATCTCTCCTAAGTGTTGCTCAGTATCCTCCGCCCCATCTCTATTCCATTGCCGTTATTTCTAGATCTCAAATCAAGACCTCAGTCTCCATAGCACAGCTCAGCATGATGAATTCTTCATCACTAAACGCTTGTAAAGTGTTATTTCACCCTCTTCTCTATGTATAAGGTCAATCCAAACTGCCAAACTGGCTAGTGGTCCCAAGGAGGAAACAACTAGTCATACCTTAGCAAGAGCTCTACTGGAGGGTGAAATGAGACAATAACAGAGATCCATTTTTCATCAAAAGAAAAGCACGCATCAGGCTACTTCATAGCATGTCTTTGCTAGCCTCAGATATAATGTTGCATATGATGGGGGTGACAGCTGTGCATTTTTATGCGACTTTAATGGTATTGCAGATTCGGAAAATAAATCATCACCATTGGAATGATCGACAAAAAAGTGTGAAACCACTGGCACACTCTGCTTGCTCTGATATATTCATATCTGCTATTGGCAATTGATTTTATCCGTACTTTACAGGATACCTCATCTGCAAAGATGCACTTGTGTAACTTCTTGTACACAAACATTCCCAGTGAATTTTATGGGGTTATTTCTATATATAAAAGCTATTGCCTGCCTGCCCCAGTGCTGAAGTTTGTGCTGGATTTGAACTTAGCTGTACTGTTGGTACTTTATGTCTCTTGCTTGTGTATTATATAACTCCTATTGCTTCATGCATGGGTAACTGTAGAAAGCAGAGATAAAGTTTCAAGTCTCTTTATTTAACTCATACAAAATAATTAAAACACTTTTCTTCTAGCATCCCCTTAGGGCCTAACATACTGTGATACACACATCGTAATGTGAAATGAGCGTCAAGACAAACGGCCTGGCTTTAGTTTGAAAGTCACCTCCGGAATCAATTCCTTTGTCTTCTAATTTACGTCACTTCTTACTGTTTTTTTCTTTTAAATTCTGACATGTTAAGATAGAGTTGTCAAATCAAACCCTGTACTTCAAATACAAAACCATATACTTTTTTACTGGCTTTTTATGCAGCATATGCTAATGATTTTTATTTGGAACACTATTAAAAAGGCACTCCAGCCATTGGAGGAAGAAGGAATGGAGAAAAACCCTTATTTCTTTAGCAGTGTAAAGATGAGGGCATATCTTTTCCTGCTTTCTTTATGCTTTTTCAGCCCTTTGTCAGCATGATCATTAAACTGACAGTGTTGGGTGGTCCGATGTTTACAGGTGGCACTCTAAAACCAGAGTTGTTGTCCTCCCTTCACTGGATTGCCAAAGTGCCATTGAAACAGTGAAATGCTCAAACTTGCGCCAGCTCTTTCGCTATTTGCCTTTGGAGGCAAGTGCCACCCCCTGCTCTGTCCCCGTTTTGCAGGTGCCCATGTCTGCCAGGGGCCAGGAGTGCTGCCAGCAGAGCTTCGCTCCTTTAGGATAAGGGCAAAGACGCTTACGGACTTATTTATGATTTACTGTGCCAGGTTCTATTCAATGTAAGCAAGAGAATCATCACTGAGCCTTGCTGTTCTCCCAAGTCAGGAAGGGCAAGGTGTTTCCATTCAAAATATTGCAGTTACTGAATGAAGCAGTACCTTAATTTTGATTTATAATCATAAAATCCCACAGAGGGTTATTTCTGTTTATATTATATTTTCATGTTTCCTAAAAATATTAGTTCAAAACAAGTTTATGGAGTCATTTGCTCTTATGATGCAGACTAGGACACTTCTTCCTAATAAACTCAGGTTTATTAGGTATATCTGTGGTATATCTTTCAATAAGGTAAACAAGACAGTATTAAGGAAAGCTGGATCTCTCTTTCTGACCAAGAGCTCCCATACACGCGTTTATAAATCTCCCAGCCAAATTCTTTCATCAGATATGTACATATGAGTTCCAACATGGCACACTTAGATCCATGGAAATGCATCCAACTCCCCAGTTCCCAAAAAGCCTTATAAGAGTCCTGTACAGTTATGAGTATAGAAAATTACTCTAATGAGGAATCTACTTAAAGTTAATTGTGTCTCATTTAATTGAACTGTTTAAATAGCTAATCATTTTGTAAGTATTATTTTCTAAGTTGTTTTTAGTGGATAGTTCGCCCTTTTTGTTGTTGCTGGAGGAATTCAGTAATAATTAACTGACATACTATGTAATTACACTGATGAAAATAAGCTATGAGACATTTTAATAAAGGGAGACTCTTAACAGGATTTGAATTTATGACCTTCAAAATATGAGGCAAACGCTTTATCCATGAGGTCACCCAAGCTTTCATTACAGCCTGAGAATTTATAGTTACCAGATTAGCCACTGAAGGACTTTGCTCTTGTTCTTCAGATGCACTGGGAACATGTTGAGAAACAGATTGAAAATGATGATGAATATAACAGTGGAAAAATACCTGAGAAAGCTTGCTCCTCCTAAACATCCAGATCTACGCATGTGCCACAGGCAGTGGAAGTCAAACCTCCTTTGGCTTTAGTAAAAAGAAAGCTAGATATATGCCTCTGTCTCTCTATGCGACCTTATAGGTATTGATTTTTCCGTATGTATATTACTGGTGACTCAAGTAGCCAAACAGTGCAGTTGTGGGCATGCTGCCATGGCTTGGAGAAGGCCAGACACGGTAGGTGATATGTCAGCGGTTGAAACATGCATGACTTAGTGAAAGTTTGGAGTTGTATATTTTCAGATATTCTTTCACGTTTTGGGAGCTTGCCTGCTGCGCTCCCTTGACTGGTCCAAAGGAGCGATGGTAAATGGCAGTGACACTATAAGCTCAGCTGCACTCTCTGATAATCTCTGAGTCCTTTTTATGCCCATTTTACAGGACCGGAGTTGAGGTAAGAAACTGACTGCACACCTTGGCTCTGAGACAGCTAAGCAATACATGCCATTTGTTTTGTTTAGCCTTCAGGACATAATTCATTTCACTCATTCTCTAACATTAGAGTTAACAAAAGTTGTGTCACGTTTTCCATGAAATAGATGGCTGAGCTGAACGTTGCATTGCAGAAAGGAAAACTGTCACTTTTAGAAGTGGGTGCTTCAGGAGCATCAAGTGTGGGGCAAACGAGGCAGCAGTGGCTGCTATTTACAGGGCATCCTGACAGTTCCTGTGTGAGGTGTCAGCTGCTTTGGAAATGCAGCAGTGAAGCAGAGCACATTTTGCGCACTTGCAATGTCAACTTACATGATTCAAAAAGGAATTGTCCTACAAATCAAACACATCTTCCTCCAAACTCCAGAGACAGACAGTGCTGCCTGTTTTGGGCTTCAAATATTCTGATATTTGTATTTTTGCAACAGAGTACAGTGAGACCAAGCACTATAGATATGTTGTCCAAGGGAATGCTCATGCAGCTAACGTCAAAGTTGCTGCTATGCATGAAAATATTTTAAAGCCAAGTGTGGGTTGGAAAGGTCCTGGTGCTTTCTGCTGGCCAGAGAGCCTTTGTAAAAGCAGGTAATGAGAACACCAGGGAACAGAGCCAGTTGTTCAGGTAGAAAGCTCAGAAAGCGAAAGTGATTGGAAATACACTGTAACTGTTAATAGCCATTTTCAGTGCTTCTCAGGTTTGTCTTCATTCTTTGTCTTATATATTTAAGATAGTGAGCATGCCTAAACATAAAATGAGAACTTGGGAACTGAGGAATAATTGAATCAGTTATTCCCTATACAGAAAATAGAGTCTTTGAGATGAATAAACTGAAGAGGAAAGTCACCTAAGCTCTGTTGAATCGTTATGACAAGCTCGGCTTGTGGCTTAGCTGCAGACTGCCGAAGTTTAGTTTGTCTGTACCTCCGGGCACGTGTCTGTGGACGCTTTGAACACCATTGCTCTTCGGAGATTATTTTGAGTGGCAGGGCGGGCCACATAGACAAGGAGTATTCTCTAAGTAGCTTTAATTAAAAAGAACAAAGGCGACATAATTAGATTTTGATGACATACCTAAGTAACAGCAGATATGAAAGCTCTGACTTCCAAAATGAGCAAACCCATTTTTCAGCTCTGGGATGGAGGAACGGCCTGTGTTGCCAAACGCGGCTCCAGCGCAGGCAAGGCTGATGACCTCAGCCAAATATTTATTAAAGGGGAAAGAAGTATTTGTAGCGACTTGTTTACTCTAGCTCTTGCTCATACCGATAGGTTTTCCTCCTCTCGGTTATCACATTGAAACCTTCCTTACGACTAACTTTGTCTCTTGGAAACGTTTCCAGTCCGCATCCAACTCTTCCCGCTTTTCAGCAGCCCAAAAGCAAGCAGCTCACGTCGCGGGCGCGTTACGTGGCTCTCGGAGGGAGGCTCCGCGCGAGGCCAGAGCGACGTTTCCGGCAACGCGACCCGCACCAGGGGTTTGTGGCCTGTGTGCAGTCTCGGGGGGTACAAATTCACTTCGCTGATGTTTGTCACATCTTGCCTGCTGAAGGTAAAACTACTAGATACTATTGTCACTCTTGCTTGTTTCCTGAGCTATACGGTGGGATTAGCTATAAAATTGCATCCTAAAAAAAAAAAGAAAAAGTTCATGCGTCTCAGCTTTATTAGAGATGTATTATTTCCTACGTAGTGTGAAGGGGATACAACAAAAATTACATTCAAATTTGGCAATAGTTCATCAATGCAAGATTTGAAGTAATTTTAAATACACCTGCCTCTAATAATATAATAAATACTTCATATTTTTACAATACTTTCACTTCTAGGTCTGAAAGTACTGTGCAGAGAAGGGCAAATGTAATTATCCCCCCAATTACAGGAAGAGATTAAGAGGTAGAAAATTTGCAAAACATGCCCAATATAATGATACGCTCTAGTGACAAGCTTTGCAGAGATATACACCTTTACCAGCTTTTCAACACTACAGAAGTTCAGCCCCTTGTGACCAGCATACTGAGAAATGGAAATGAAACTGGTTTAAATAGATTCTCTCTATAGAAATTAAGCGTCAGTTTGGTTAAAAGAAATGGGTTTTGGCTTTTAGACAACAGAATCCCTCACACATCAGTTTAATTTGAGGACAGATAGTCCCTCTGTAACATACTTCATGAATAAGTTAATGTTTTCAGTTAATAAAATGTTCTCAGGTACTGAAATAGCAAAGATCTTATTAATCCTCTATTATTTTTTAATCGCAGCATTCATGGCAAAGCACTAAGCTGGTACGAATTTTACATCTTTTCTGAACAGTTTTCAGCACAGGCCTCTGGCAGGCATTGTTTCCTTTTCACTGAGGGGAAAAATGTATTATTGGGTTCTATATAAAATTTCATGTTTTTATCACACCTAGTACTGTTTTCATTAAAATATTTATTTTACCAATTAAACAGCTTTCCAATATAAGTTAATGCAGATAACCTGATGTTTAAAACCAAAGATATCCACAAATATTTACAGCCAGTCCTCTTTTCAAATAAAATTTTCTTCATTGTGTCCTTTCTCCTAACCCAAGTTCCGTGAATAGTTCATAATAATTTTATTGATATTTTTTATTTATTATTATTGATTTTACTTTCTGTTAACTGTTAGCAATCCAACTTATTTAAACATGTATTTTATTGTGCAAAAAGTGGTTTAGTGAAAGTATGCAAACAGGTCATTGCGCATGACCTGTGTGCTATCGGTGAATTATTTAAACTAGATTATTTTGTTTCTGTTACTGGCGAGGGAGAGAATTTCGAGCTACGTATTTGTATATCAGTGGTTCACACCCCGGCTCGGTTATCACCAACCACTGTGAGAATGCCGAAGCGATTTGTTCTGGGCAGCCAAGTGTGTGAGACACCAACCACAGTATATGCCAACGTGCATGTATGCTGGTGTATAAGCTCACGTGTATTCGTACGAGCAGCTATTCACACGAGTGAGCAAACTCGTGTTTGTGAGTGAGCTTATGTAAATACTTAGTCCTCACTTTCAGAGCCAATCTCTTTTACTGCTTCAGGAAATCTTGTACTTCTGCTTTTAGGAATCTATATTTAATGCGTCAACCAGAGAATTAATTTTGATTAAATACTCAGATTAAATACTTGTGTCTCACATCACCAGCCTCACTGACTTGTCATTTATGAAGGCAGAAGGGATGGCTGTGATGGCCATGTCTGACCTCCCAGGTAACACTGGCTACAGGGAGTGCTACAGGGTTTGCAACGTCAGGATCAAATCATGGAAAGTGTCTTTGACCCTGTGACAAACGCACAGAGCCTTAAAAGAGATTGAGAAATACAGAAGGTTCCTGATTCTTAGTGTGATCGTTAAATCGAGAGCCAAGCCGACATCATTATTTTTTTGGTCTAAAAAAAATGGTTCGTTTTTTCCTCATTGTTGCAAGATACCTAGGCAAACTACTGTGTTCCCCATTCTAAACACCCCCTTTCTCAAGGATATGCAAGTAATTCTTTTATATTGTGAGGAAATTAGTCTTTAACTTCTCAAAACTGTTCACATGGACCATCTTGTCTCCCTGCCTTATAGGAACGTTATCTGGTAGCAAGGCTTCCTGGTGGCTGGTGTTTCTTCCTCAGGCATTGAAACTTCCTCCAATCTCAGTGAACCGTCTGTGGTAACAACTGGCAGGCGACAGCCTCGCTCCCCTCGTGATGCCAATGCCAATTCTGTGAACGCACTGCTTGCCCTACACCCACCAGTTTGCTACTGAGTGCCCTGTGCTGGCAGAGACCGTGCTGGCCGGGGCTCCGTGGGGTATGAAAAGAGGCCATAGCTACATCCCTTTCCATGCACGATTCACCCACGCTTCGACGAGGAAACATTAACAGCCATTTTCAGATTGCAGTAGCGTTACACCAGCTACCTGGCCCGTGCTGCCGTGTGGGAAACAGGGAAGGGAATTGGAGCCACCAAGAGCACCAGGGAGCAATATCCCAGGCCAAAAACGTCCCCTGGTGTGTCCTGCTGCTGGCTGTAGGCCTTGCGAGTCGCTGTGCGGCTGGCAGGTGCGCTGCCATCACCGCTCATTGGAGGAAATAGCAATGGCAACGTCTTAAGAATAAACCCTGGCAATGTGGGGTTATTGCAATATTGTATTATATTGTAAATTTGTATTATACTGTAATTGCCTTTATGATATTAACTTGGAATGGCTCCACAGACTTCCAAGGAGATTTTACTGCTGACATTTTCAAACCTGAAAGGGAATGCAGATCCTGGATTATAAACCTCTGCTCATCCATCAAAGACAATCTCAGCTAGTCTCTCAAGTGACAGCACAGAAACAACCAGAATGTAATAAAAGTCTCTGGAAATAGCATTACTTTGAGTAACGTTTTCTATCAAATCATGAAAACTGAGTTTCCAAACAGTCTAGCCAGATGTTCTGCTTCAGGAGAACAGTTGAGCTCTAGCAGCAATAGAAATGAGCTCTCTGGCACTATTTGTTAAGGTAGCTGGGAGCTGTAGGGTGGAGGGCCAAAGCCTATTGCATCCCAGGACCCTGTGTCTGACCTGAAGAGCCCTCTGTGCAGATTGCACCTCTCAGTGAGAGCTGTGAACTGCTTTTACACACCAGGCTAGTCTAAAACCTATATTGAAAGCTCTTAAACAATTCCGTAGACAGCAGGAAGATACTGTACCGTGAAAGAAGTTTTCCCCTGCTCATTCATTTTAGCCTTCGAACTGTACCTAATTATTAGATGCAAAATTCTTGCAGGCCAAAGTATCTTGAATGCATTTTCACTATGCTCAGGCACGAAATAATAGAAAGGTCACCAGCAAATCTCCAGTCATGACAATAGTTACCCTGTGTAGTTTAGGCAAAGGTGGGGGTTTATTTGCTCATTTCCAGGTCTGAATATAAACCCAGCAGGTTTCAAAGCTGTACTTAGCTGAGAAAAATTGTTTAGAGTTTAGCCAGATACATGTCTGTTAGACTGGCTGTGCAGGGAGAGATGGCTGTGTCTGAGAGCGTGTTTCCACATGCGCCCTCATGGCATGCAGCGCCTCTCCCTGCACCACCTCCCCGGTGTCCTTTGCTGCAGTGAACCTCCACGAGGCCTTCATCAGTCTTCACTCCTTCAAACCACGATGCTCTTCTGCTTTCTCCACTTCCCTTCCTTAGCCTCAGTGTGAGCATAACAAAATATGGCTTGCGGGAAAAAAGGTGGCAATATTTTCTCTGTTTATGGGCAGCTTACAGGTTCAGTAAATATATTTTTAAATACTATCAAGAAAAATCGCAACTATTTGCAGCTCTTCAAAAATGTAGACTCAGTTCACTAATTGTATGCATCAATAATCTGTAGTGAATGTGAACTCTTTACAAATGAGAATGAAGTAGACAAAAATAGCTAATTTTAAATTTTGTAATTCAGAGGTGCAGCCATAGGTCTCAGTTTTAAGACAAAGAGAAAAGGAAGAAGGTTATTGGATGAATCATACAGATCATACAGACCCACCAACATACGTGTTTGTAAGGTCAGGACAGAATACTGTGCATAGTATCTTTAGACAATCTAGCGAAGGTAAATTACCTAATACAAGTTTTCTTCTTTATAAATCATGTAAATATCAGAGTTTTCTGAGTTGTTAAAAACTGGATATAACAGCCGCTATCACCCATTTCTTTCTTCCGCCCCAGTTTGTAGGGGAAGTAGCTTGAGTATTTGGGTTGTGGGCAAGGACAGTTCATTTTTTTCATGGTTACTGTACCTGAAAGGGTGGTCTGAATATAAAGAACTTCCTGAAAAAAAGGAAATCCAAGAAATAAGGTAGTCAGTCATATTGAAAACATAACCACTGGCAACAGCTTAAGGTTGTTATATTTCCTCTGCAGTGCTTTTGTATGTTTAGGGTAACAAAGTTTTGTTTTCCCTCTGATATATAAATGTGAGTGAGCATTTTCTGCAGTACGTGAAATAGGAGAAACACTAGGAAGGAAAAAAAGAGAAGTGAACAGCCTGTTCTCTTCTGTTGTATGTACAGTGTTCTCCTCTGCTCCTGACCACACATATGGATGACTTCCAGAAGATTACTGAGCAGTGTTAATATTCATCCATCTTATACTGTTTGGCTTTCTTACCCAGAGGAAAAGCACGAGCATGGTCATGTTCTGTCTTATCTGTCTTCAGGTCATTAGACAATATGCTTTTGGATACATAATAGTACAGGCAAGAGTAGAAAAATGGAGCAGATGATTGCTACAAGATTTTTAAGGCATCATGTTTCCTGGGGCAGATCCTCCACTGTTTCTTATGTATTCAGATGTACATTCTTATGTATTCGTATGTATTCAGATGACACGTAAAAACCAGGACGGACCAGGGTCTTGAACTCAAATTGAAATTCTGTGGGAAGGTGTTGAAGAAAATAAAGCACAGGCATGTCATAGGTCCTGTGGTAGCTTGCACTGTTGCAGACATGTACTACAGTGCACTGTAGGAGCTGGGATTTTGTAAGTAAAGCTGCTGTAGTCCTACCTTACAATGGCAAAATAGTAAAAAAATGAGACTGGGCCTTGGTCAACCAGGGTGGGGTGCGGTTCCTGTCCCAAAAGATTTCCTTTGACACAGAGAGGAGTGCAGGCAGGAGCAGATACTCATCCCAGGAAATAAAGAGGAACGGGGGCATTTGTTCCCAGCAGTTTGCCCAACAAAAGAACAGTTTTGTTTGGTCTTTATTTAGCTTTAAGGAATTGAAATTCATGTTCTGGAAACTCGTTTTGCTGTGTGGGTGTTTGTTCTTAATTAATTAGGAAAACTTTGCCTGTGCAATGCAGAAAATAGTCTACTACTTTATAAATAGTAAATAATAGACAGATAACGCACTTCTAAAATCCAGTTTCTAATGTAATTTGTTTTCGTTTGCTTTATTTCTCAGTAGTGTTTATAAGATCTTGTTCATGGAATGAAGTACCAGAGCTAACTGGTACTGGTAAAAAATTAATGAAAGCAAAATGCTTATGAAAAATAAATTACTATATGGTAAATATCCATGCAAATATATGAAGGATTTCAAAAGTATAAATTAGAAGTACAAAAAATGTAACACAAGATAAGGTACAAGTGTGGGGATAAGTCTTTCAATTGAAACTGATGTATTCACTAGAGGCGATCAGTTCAGGAATGGAAACAAGGATTTCTGTTTGCAGTGTTTAAGAAAAAAACAAATAATCATCACCTTTCCTATGAGCAACTAAGTAGTAGTAACAGTAACATAGTACTGCGAATCCCTAGCTTGTGAGGCAAATCCTCCTATTGGTCATTGTCCTTGTGCCTTGGAGGCAGGCGTATGGTTCCTACCAGCTGAGCGTCTTCCTTCTTCTGCAGACATTGTCATAATAATGCCCAAACTTTTATTTTTTTTTCATTTCATGGACTAGAATACCGATCTGGGAGGAGGCTAAGGAAAACTCTAAGTTTTCCTTAGGTAGTTGTGCCGGAACAGTGTGCAAAATAATATATAGCAAGTGCCCTGCAAGGCAGGTGACCAAAGCCATGGGCCATTGCTACCGTAATAACCAGCAGTTTGTGTTGGAGCAAAGCGATGACTGCATAAGCGGCGGGAGGAGAGCCACAGTGCCATAGGTCAAGCTTTAATGACTGCGAGAGCCAAGAGTGCTGTTCCTGCGATTCCTCTTTTGGGCTAATTTTGTCTGATAAAAACACATTAAGTGAACATGCTCACAGATACACTAGACAACCTTTTAAAAGTTAAAGTTTAAATATGGTAGAGCTGCAAATCAGTATCTGCTAATCAGTAAAGGCAGGATATGGTTAAGTCACATCATATAAAAGCCACATGGAGGATCTTTGGAAAGTGTTAGTTTATATGCATTTATAGTAAGAAAAATAAATAAATAGGGTTAACCAGCAGTTTTGTCATGATCATATTATTGCTGCAATAGTTTTGCTATACAAACCCTATGGGTGTTCAGATATATTCTGTGCCACAGTCTCCCCTGAATAATGAATGGTAAATGACTAATCATTATTTAAATTGTCTTTCTAGGCCATTTTCTTTTGAAGTAGTAGGCCTGAATTTCAAAACAGAGCATTAAACGTGTTAAAATATACAATCAGGTGGACCAATCAGAGTAATAGGGGCATCTCAAAACCCTAGTTCAACGTGTTTCACACAAAATCTTGTTATGGAAAGAAAGATAACAGCCCTACACAGGGAGTTAAAAATTGCTTGTTATACCAGTCAGTGCTTTAGTAATCTAACAGTTACTATAAGTCTAGCTGAAGTGCTGTGCACATATTGTCCAAATTACCTAACGAATGCAAAAATCCTTAATCATAAATGCAATTTAAATTGTTTATTGCGTAGGGTTGTCGGGCTTTTTATCCTTTGCTGACACTGCCGGAGCCCTGGACCTGCAGGGGAGGTGCTGCCTAGCTCTGCAGCCACTGCAAACCCTGTACTGCCAGGCCAGGACAAAGCCTGCAATCTCCTAGCAGCAGTGGAAAATATCTTATTTACTGGACTATAAATCCTAAGAGATATGCCTCAGAGATATGATTTACAGCTTCTAGGTGAGGGAGCCACAGGGGTAAGAAATGTAATTGTGCTGAGTGCATTGTCAGCTGGCCTTCTCCGTTTCGACACTTGATATCATGCCTTGACTTGCAGTGAAAGTTTGGATGGCTAAAAGCAAAACAAAAAGTAACTCCACTTAAAATCTTATCTCAGTGATGATGAGTATGTTTTCTTAGTTATGGCAATATCTTAGAAAAAATGGCCTAAAACACATTTTGAAATTGTGATGCTGTGAGGCTTGGTGCAGTGTTTTATAGTAAGCGTTGCTCCCAATACGTGATAAAGGCATATTTCTGAGACTCAAAATTGATTTCTGGCAAGAGTTCTAGTATTCTGCTTGATAATTCTCCTACAGAAAATTTACTCCTCTTTCATACGTATGCATGTAAGAGCACAGCCAGCCCTAAGTGGGAGGTTATATTTTGATACCAGACTCATGCTGGAATAGATGGGCTGAATATACTATAGTGACTTTGCTTTTATTCAGCCATTGAAACGTCCACATTTCCCCAAAACAAAAGTTCCAATGGCAAAATGTAGAGGCATTGTTTTGCTTTTCCCTGTTGCTAGTGGAAAGAATAGTGTTACATAACAGAAGGCAACATTTCCACAAATTTCAATTTATTTCAGCAAAATACCCTTTAAAATGCATAGCGTGCAGCAGCATTGAGGTAGGTACTGTCAGCAACTCAGAAGTGACAAGCTTCACGCATGACTCCTCTAACTCATTTGACAGCATTCAATAGGATCAGGAGCAGCTGGGGTGGAGAGAAG